CTTTTGATCAAATTGCAAAAGCTTGTGTTAAAACCCCGAGCTTCCAGAACATTAAGAATAAAGTCCCAATTGATAGTATCAAAAGATTTCTTGATGTCATGTTTGATAACAAGATTCCTACTCCTGCATTTTTTTTAAGTTCCTGCAAAATTTCCTGGGCCAAGAAAATATTATCAGAAATATCACGGCCTTTAATAAAGGCCGACTGATGAGGGGATATAAGGGAAGGTAGGTGAGGTTGGAGGCGAGCCACAATAAGTTTACCGATAATTTTAGTGATCACAGAGGTGAGAGAGATGGGCCTAAAGTCCTTCCAATGGGATTTATCATTATTTTTAGGAGTAAGAACAATCAGAGCCGCTGAGAAATACTTTTCAGGGTCATCTCCTTAAAAAAACTTTGAATAGCAAGAACCACCTATTTCTTAATAATGTCTCAGCAAGCGATATAGAAAGTGGAAGTGAAACCGTCAGGACCAGGAGCTTTTTGAGAACTAATATCTTTGAGGGCAGTAAAAATCTCCACCTCAATAGGAGGATCGGACAGAGAGAGGGAGGAAACTACGTAGGGAGGAAACTACGAGAGGGAGGAAACTGTCCCTTTGATCCTGAAACATACTGGAAAGAATATCTGTAACAGGGTGAGTATCAGCGTATAAAGAAAAAAAATAATCAACAGCATTATAACCAATTTGCTCAGTATCAGTGAGAACAGAGCGAGAGCTCTCATCAGTAACAACCTTAATAATGGTATTAATGTTTCGACGATGATTTAATGATAGTATGAAAATATGAGGTCTTTCTGTCAGCATTTTTGAAATGATTGTCACAAACTTTTTGTCTTAGGAAATCCTCTTCAATCGAGATTTTCCTCCAAAAGAGTATGATGAGCATCCGTTAACTTAGCCACAAGATCAGGAGTGTCGACCATATGAGCTTCTAAAGTGTCAACCTCTTGTTGGGCCTTCAACACCCTAGAATGAACATTTCCAAAAACATCAATGTTCCATCTTTTTAAATGATAAACAACATTCTTGTGTAATTGCCATAAAATGAACCAAGGATTTCCACTCCACTTGGAGACCCATGCCTGTCCATGCCTGCTTAATCAAATCAATAAATGTACGATGAGTGGTCCAAACATTAATAAATTTAAAATGATAAGGAGCAAGTTTGGAGTGAAAAGTCAAACTAAGCAAAATAGGAATATGGTCTGAAGCAACATGATTAAGATGCTTGACATGAATAATGTTATAGTAACTCATAAAAGCTGAGTTCCCAAAAATTCTGTCCAAACTTTGCAGAAGAAAACCCCGTCGCCAAGTAAAAGGACCCGAAAAGCCTAAATCATAAAGGCCAGCATCCTCAATATGATCACAAAAACGATTGATAAGACTCGTATCAATTTTAACACCGCCCAATCTCTCAGAAGGCGACATAATCATATTTAAATCTCCACCAACAAACCAATTTTCAGTAATAGTAGCACTCATATGCGTGAGTTGTTGCCAAAGAAGAAGCTTATCTCTTAAACGTGAGCTAGCATATATGAAAGTAGCCCAACCGAAATAATTCTCCAACTGATAAAGAATAAAAACATACTGCACATTATCATCAATAATATTCAGAATGATGTCTTTCTATCAAAAAATCCAAATTTTGTTATTCACATTACTGAAATGCATGTATCCCTTGAATTTCCTAATGATTTCTTCTTTATGAATTGAAACAAGAGGGTCCAAAAGAATAAAAATGTCAGGTTTATGGACCCTACATAAATGCTTTAAATGATCAAAAGAGTGAGAGTCCGCCATTCCTCTAATGTTTCACACTAAAATATTAAACATGTTGGCCCATGACACCTTCCCTCCTAGTCATCTTAGGAGGAAGGTGCAAGAGCTCGCTCTCTGAATGATAAGTGACATCCAAATTATTTGAGTGTGTCATATTTGGAAGTTTAGATTTCCTTCTTCCTCTTTTCTTGCTATATTTTTGAATCTTTCATTCAGATTCAAGAGCCAAGGAAGCCAAAGAGGAAGGGTCCTGCGTTGGAGAAGTAGGCATATAAGTGGAAGGATGAGAGATTTCAGGTAAGGGAACAAACACCCCAATATGTTCATCAGAAGATATTTGAGGAGGTTGTGGCTCAGATTCCGTAACAGATGAAATGATAGGTTCCACATTTTCAGCATTTCTTTCAGGAGTTAGAACTGCACCCTCTGCTGCTGCGACCACCGGGGGAGCATCGCTAATTGCCGCCAAACCTAGAGCAACTAGTTCACCAGGCCCCACGCAGGCTTCAGCCAAATGAGTAGCAGATTCAGATAAATTAATTCCAAGAGTAGATTTCGGTCCAGCAAAGGCTTTACGGCCAACTGGGGGATGTCTTAATTCAGGATGCAAATGAAAACAGTGATCGGAATCATGACGGAATCATGACCAAACATGCAACAATGCAAGCAGTAATGAGAACAATAATGAGAATGCTTTTCAAGCAAGACCTGTTGCCAATAACCAGTGTGACTAGAACCTATCCAAACTTCCTCTGGAGGAGGAAGAGTAACATCCCTTTCAATTAGTATTCTAGTCATTGATGGCTTAGATTAAAGGTAGGAGCATCGAGCATTAAAGACTTTCCATACATAGCAACTAGAGAAAACAAAATTTCATGATTGAACAGATGAACTTTTAAACTCGGAAGTTTTAGCCAGACTGGGATAACAGGGAGTTCAATTTTCGGATCGAACACCATAGTTCATTTAAGGACCTTCATCCACACATCCCCAAAATGTACAGTTCTACGTGCAAACAGTTTAGCATAATCATCTTCATTAAAAAGTTGGACAAGGATATGTCTGCTATCCAGTGCACCGATCTTCCAACCCCCCGATAACTTCAAAAGTTCAAAATTCTTCATCAAAAAATCGTATTTTAGAAGCCCATAAAAAAAAATTACCAACAAGATGAAAACGACAAGCAGAGGTAAGAATGGAGTTCTCAGAATCAGAGAGAAACCTGCCATTCCTCATCAAAAAAAGTAAAAGATTGGTGGGCCTAAACACCCAACCCACACGGTATAACACACATAAAAAAAAAATAAAAGATACATATAGAAATAAAAGAAAAAAACTCAAAAAATCACTCAGGCGCTGAAAAAGTGTGGGTCATCCCAATCTAGAATTGCCTCTGGCTCTAGTTCTCGGTTGGGATCTAGCTAGCAGATTGGTAAGGTGCTGACCATTACCCGTTGTAACCAAAGTATCATCCATAAGACTCCTGAGCTCTAGTAGATCTCCATTCTTCTTCTTCCTTCTGGAAGTGTAAACCTGTCATTCCTCCTCCGAAGAATCAACTTGATGAGGTAGAGCTGAAGAAGAATGATTACCAACAGTAGTACCCACAGTAGGTTCTGGAATATGTGAAGTATGAGTTCCCGCTACACCGGATACTTCTTGAAGAAATGGAGTTGCGAGGCTCTCCTGATTATCAGTCTGAATATCATCATTTATAGATAAGAGTTCATCAGTATTGTTTTGTATGAATTTTGTAGGTGTCAGCATCTCATCACTCGCAGTAGCAGTAACAACAGTTTCATGGGGGGATCCTCAGGGGCAACAGACACCTCATGTCTGATAGTATCATCCTCAGGTGGAACTAAAATATCCACAGCAGTGGGGTTAGACCCATCCTTATTCACTTGAACATTCGATTTCAAATTAGGATGACGTTTGTGGCATTTAGCAAGGATATAACCAAACATCTTATAGTGGGTACAATATGGAGGTTTGTGTTCCATGCTGATTTGTTGCCAATAATCATTATGGGTTGTGCCCAGCCAGACTTCAGTAATATCAGGTAAAGTAATATCTCTTTCCACAAGTATTCTGGCTACCGAAGGTCTGGCGAAGGTCTGGTTAGGTGGTTAGGTTGAAAGTAGACAGATCTAGTTTCAGAGAATCCCCAAGATTGACCCCAATAGAGTAAAGAACCTGATGGTGAAAAAAATGCAGCTTGAGACCAGGTAAACTAAACCATACCGGTACAGTGGGAGTTTCATGATTTGGGTCGAAATTAGGAGACCACTTGAGTAACTTCCTTGATTTGCCTTCGATATTAAGATATTTCTTAGAGAAAATCCTGGTGTAGTCTTCTGCCACTGTTAGTTGGATCAACACGTCTCATATCCATGAGTCTCACTTTCCACCTGCCTGCTAGCTTAAGATCATCAACACTCTTTTGTCCTCACTGAAATTTTCCAATAAGAGCAAACTTGAATTTTTCCGTATGAGTAGAAATTTCTGATTGAGAGAAAAAAATTGTTTTTTTTCCACCTTTCTTGCTCCCCTTCTTAATAAAAGAATTTGTACCCTCACGAGACTCCTTATAAATTGAGGGGAATCCCACTGCGAACTCCACTTGAGGGTTACCCATATATATATATATATATATATATATATATATATATAAACACACACATTATACTGACACATTTTTATTTTATAGTTTATTTTTATTGGTGGTGAAAATGTTTTATTTTGAATCGACTTTTCTTGAAGCATCACTAAACTTGAATTCCAATAATTTATTTTATGACTTGGCTTGAGTTAAAATTGAAACTCTCGACTTTGAGTTCATGTTTTCTTGCTCGAACTCAACACAGTATCACCAATACTCATGGTGGCCTGAACTACCAAACTCTAGGAAGGTCAAATCCACACTCATTTTGTAAGCGATCGAAGTTCAGCTATGCTGTGATGGTGTTTAGTGTAATATTATTTCAAAGGGACGTATTTAGAAATGGGCATTTGGCTTTTTCCTTTCTTTCTGCTTAAAATTTATATATAGAATCTACAGATAATCGTCTTCATTTCCATTTTGATTGGAGGCCTCTGTATTTTTTGTACCTTCCTACATATCATTATTTGAATGATTTTTTTTTTATTTTCAGCTTTTATTTTTTTATTTAATTGAATCAAATATTTATTTTTTGCTTAATTTCAGGATTTAACTGCGGAGAAGCATCAAATATTGCAACTCCCGAATGGCTAAAAGTAGCCAAAGAAGCAGCAATTAGGAGGGCATCAACAAACTGTCCTCCTATGGTTTCTCACTATCAGCTGCTTTATGCTCTTGCTTTGTCCCTGCATACAAGGTGTGCGTAATCAGCAATCCAGAAACATGTTTATGCTTGTTTTTTAAGGTCTCCATTAGAAGATAAGTTTGTTCCTCTCACATTTGATATGGATCATGTTCATATTCCATGATTTAACATTTGAAACCCTGAACATTTTTGAAGCAATTCAATTTTGCTAGAGTTGGTGTTGGTTTAAATGTGAAGATAAAAGTTATCATCAGTAATTAACGATGTGATACATTGATGCGGGATGCTTAGGAGATGCGGGATACCGATATGGGAGACGCGACGTGACGCTAGTGAGGGAGGCGAACACAAGAGTTCGAAGCAAGCATGGGAAATGGGCATTGTTTTTTTCTCGTTTCTTCTGAAGCAAGCTTTCCAGCTCAAGTTCCTAATATTCATTCAATTATAATTAGGATTTTCTAACTAATAACTATTTTAATGTTATTTTTTCTGGTTTTGGAGGACTTGCTTTGTTTGTGAATTTTGGAGATTGGTATCTTTGATTTTTATCCTAAGTGTTGTATTCTTTTCGTTTTGCAAGTGATGTGTCTGTCGCTTGTGCAAGATCAGATGGTGAAACTCCTTGATATCCGTATCTCCTTGATTCAATGCTATCTCTGTTGTTTTCAGCCGGGACAACTACCGAGCGATATTTATCACCTTCCAAATGTCGTCAACCTCGCATATTTTTGGTCCCTTGCTATTCCACAACTTCCTTAATGCTTTGAGGCAAAGCGTGGACGTCTTTGATGCTGGACTTCTGGGATGTCTATATGGGTTCAGTCCAGGGGAAATTGAGGGTTGGCCGGCTCTATAGGTTGGGATTGCCATCCATATGGAATGGAGCCAACTCTTAGTTATCTAGTATTATATATTTGCTTTTGTTGGTGTTTAGTGTTTAGTTTTTCTGTGATTTGCTTGTGACGGCCGCTGGTGTCTCCTTTTCCCTCAACGGGCTGTCCCCTAGGGTTCTAAGTGGTGTTTTGTTTGTATCTTGGTCTCTAGGTGGTGTTTATCCTTCCTCGCATCAATTCCCTTCACCCTCGACGGTTTCCCCCTTGCTGCCATCACCCATAAAATAGTGAAGTTGTTCTTTTTCTCCTCCATGCTTGTTGCCACTACCCATAAAACAAGCTGTTGTTTTTCCCCTACACCCCTGCTGCTGCTGCCAGGGATAGCCACCTATTTGCTGTCCTCCCCCATCTAGCTTGCTAACCACCTCTTTGCCACCACCCCAGAGGTCTACACCCTTTGTTGGCATCACCCACTCCTTAGATCCAACCCCAATTTTAGTTTTAGTGATAGTTGTTTTATTGCAATTTGCGATTTTTCTGTTGCTTGTTGTAATTCTATATTTTAATCCAGTAATAGTATTTCTTTTAACTTAGGTGTTTGTTTAATTCCGACAACACATTTTTGTATTTTCTTATACCTTATAAGAGCCCTAGAACATTATCATACATGGAAAAAGGGATAATCATTGAAACATTTGAAGTCTTTCTTTTGTTGAGAAAAAAAAATCTAATGTTTTTGTAGAGTTTGGGGACGTAAAATAAATGATATGAAGAATTGCATGTCAATGACCATCTCAAGGGGATACATGCAAGAAGCAGAGAGATTGTTTCATCGTCAAGAATAAAAGAAGTTATGATCAACTAAAAAGAGAAAATGTGAGGGGGTGTAATGTCCCCTTTCTTTATTGTCAGGAGGAATCTATGCATCGAACAAAGGGGGGAGAAAATGAATAACCAAAGAAGAAGCTAGGAGACGAGAAACCGAACAAAGGGAGTCAGAATTCAAAAAGGTGAATTCGCCTATAAAATTGCAATCGAGTCGGGAAAAGACTCCACGGCTTACCTAAGAGTCGAACGACAACTGTGCTACTAATTTGAGTTGTGACTTCGACTAGAGCTTCCGTATTGTGCAAATGCAGAAAGGTTGTTGAGACACTCTTATGTGTCGTCGAGCTTTGAGCACGCAAGACGAGCCAAGTGCAGAGGAAAAGCAAAGTCGATCATGCCCTAAGCATTCAGTACAAGGTGATCAAGACCATGCCTAAGCATTCAGTGCATATGATCGCAGAAAGTGGTGCAAGCGTCTGTACGAAGAATAGAGGAAGAATTGTGTTCAAGCATTCGACCAAGCCGAAGGAAAAGAAAGCGAGGAGTGCGTGCATGAAGGGGGGAGACCGAAACGTAAGGTAAGAAATTCTATAACTCATTTATGAAATTATTATTTTATAAATTATTAATTATTAACTGTAATTTTTATTAAATTAGATTTTAAGTTAAAGAAGTTTCATATTAAGAATGGTTAATGTTTGATTTATTTAAGATTTAATTATTTATTTAATAATAAATTATTACATAATATAAATGTACGTATATTTATAAGCCTAATAAAAAAAGTAATACAAATTACATAGAGCAACTAAAAGTTAAATTAGGATAATCAACTTTATTGCCAATATTTTATTAAGCTTAAATTGTTAAATGAAGATACCAATTAGGATAATAATAAAATATTTAATATTATATAATTCATTAAAGGGTCAAATAGAAGAAAATCACCTTCTAATAATATGATTAACATATAATAAATTATAAATACTTCTTTTTGCATTTGACTTTTGGTTTTTCATTTGAGATGAGTGAAGAGAATGTTAAGAATCATAAGTGATTGAGGTGAGTACTCATATTTTTATACTATAGTAATATTTTGCTTCTTCTAGAGCAAATGTATTTTTTTTTTTTGAAAAAAGCCCAAGGGCTAATTTATTAAAAACACAAAAGATATAGAAATGTTGTATGAGAGAGCTTAAAATCTCACCTCACACGAAATAAAACACACAAAATCCAAATAAAACAAAGATATATAAAGATAAAAAAACCAAAAAGCCACCAAATGGCGCAAAAGTGCTAGGGACGTCTCACTTTCCTCACTTTGCCTCTAGTTGTTGGAATTGAGTCTGCTAACAAATTAGTAAGGTGAGTGTCATTGCCCGAAATAACCAAAGTATCATCCATCAGATTCTTGAACTCAAGTCGGTCTCCATTCTTCTTCTTCCTTCGCGATGTATAGACCTGCCATTCCTCATCCGATGATCGACTCATTTGATCAATAGATTCTTCCAAAGTTAGTTGGACAGGTGTAGGCTGTTGCATATAATCCCCATGATCCTGAGTGACAGTTACAGCTTATTCGACTTGATGAGGCGGTAGTGAAACAGTAGAAGTATTGCAACTTGTAATAAGGGTGATAGGTTATAGGGCAAGTGGGGTCTGAAGAATATCCTTCTCACCCATGATAGTAGGTTCCAGAGGCGTTTGAATGGTTGTAAAATTGCTTGCGAGAATAGTGACGTCTTCGGGGGCATTCTTTTGATGATCAATATCGTCAAGATCTACTTTTAATCTTTCTCGTCCATCAGAAGCCAGAGTACTTGTTGAAAAAGACATCACTTTATCTTCTTATGAGGAAATTTGGATATCGTCTCCCTCTCTGCTACCTGCTCTGCTAGGGTTTTGCCTCACAGCGAACCCTAGCATCTGCTTTCGCTTCGCTCCTCTCTGCGTCTCGCGTCGTCTGCCGATTTGGATTTGGCGATCTGCGTCGTCTGTTAGGTCGCGTCTCCTTTGTCGTCCTGTCGCCGCTTCTGCGCTCTGCTCCGTGATCGTAGGGGCGGCGTCTGCTTCTGCGCTGCTTCGCAGGGGTGTCGTCTGTTCGCAGGGGTTTCGTCTTCTGCGTCGCTGCGACGTTTGCTGAATTTGAGGGGTTTCTGCTTCTAAATTTGCGGGGTTTCCGCGTCTACTCCTTTCAGGATTCTTACTTTGCTCTTCTTTGCTTAGTTCAGTGTTCTTAACGCCACGCCTCCATCTATTGGGGATGGCTTCAAACAGATCGTATGTTGCTGCTCTTGCGGGTGTCAACGCCGCCTCAGGCACACATTCCTCTTGTCGACTGAATTTAGTTGGGAAATTTATATATGGTCATCCAAAAATGGAGCTAATTCATAAGGAATTTGAGGTTATGCACCTGGTTGGGGAGTGGAAAATTAGACTGTTAGATGGAAGACACATTCTCATACAAATTAATAATGAAGAGGATTACACGTTTTTATTTACTATAAGGATAATCTGGATTGATAACAGAACAATGAAGATTCTCAAATGGTCTGTAGATTCTGACCCTCAGACGGAACCTCCGATCATTCCGGTTTAGATTCGCCTCCCTAGTCTGAAATTTCATTATTTTACTCAAAAAATTTTGTACGTTATTGCCTCAGCTTATGGTAAGCCACTCAAAACAGACATTCCTACTTTTAATCTAGAGCAAATGTATTTATTAGTACTATCACTAGCTATATTGGAATTATTACAAATTTGAGGTTTTGAAATCTAGTGAATTTTTGTTCATATTGTAGAAATGATACGTGACAGCATAATTTAAATTATCATTTGAATGATTCATAAGTATATTGCTTGATACGTCAGTGAGAATGAAATTTATTTTGGTTTTCATAGAATGTTTTTATGTGGATGACTGACTATGACGAAGTCTCCTCTTTATGGTACTAGCGGTGAAACGCTAAGGTGTGCACTCAAATAGAAAAAAAGACATTGATATTGAAGTACCTAAGTAACACAATTTTTAGACGATTCTTCTGTGATGGCTATATAAATATAGAATGATATTGATATGCTATTGACATAGTAAAATTCATTGAATAACATCTTATATGTTTACATTGATTTATTAAAAAGTTTAACTACATGCATATTATTTTTTTTTTTCCATTGTTTTACTGTTGTTTAGGATTATGAGCATTTGTTATGTTGTTTAGCTCATTGTTATTTAAATTATTTTTTCAGAATAATTAAGTGATTAAAAGATAAGCAATAGAAGAGATAATGTTTATAGAAGATGTGTACAACTAATAATGAGGTAAATTAAAATATATTATTTTATTTTCATCTAATTATTTTGTTAATAGTTATAGAAAATAAATATGG